TAGAGTCCACGGAGTAGTGGACCTGCTGTACCATCTCCTATCAAAACTCGTGTTGATCTAGCATCATATCATGTACATGCAGGGCTCCTTCTACCTCTCGGCTTGCCCACCGCACAGCTCTCCGCCATTCGTGTTTTGCTGGTATCACATGACCCCCGAGAAGAAGCAAAAACACACACAGACCGCGAGTGACAGCCCATGACGCCCGGGCTCGCCTGCTGACATAATCGCCCCACCGACTGACTGATTGACATCAACGACGACCCGGCCACCATCCCCGCCATCACCGACATCCCGACATCACCGGCATCGCCGACACACACACACACACACACCAATTGGCCATCAGCCAGCCATCCAGATCAACCGCCGCCATGCATCCCACCCTCCGCCTCCTCACCGCACGCCTGCCGCCCTTCTCCCCCACCGGCCTGACAGGCCTCCTCACCCACCCGAACCCCCGCCCCACGCTCATCGCCCTCTACAACCACACGCTCACGCTCCTCGCCCGCCTCCCCGCCCACTCCGTCTACCGCCAGTCCGTCGAGAACCTCACCCGCCACCGCCTCGCCATCATCTCCTCCGTCCAGCCCGACGGCCTCGCCGACTACCACCAACAGATTGCCGCCCTCAAGCAGCAGCAGCACAGCACCAGCCCCGCCACAACGGGCACCAGCACCGCCGACGAGCTCGACATCGTCGTCAAGCAGGCCCGCCTCCTGCTCGACGACTTTGCGGCCGAGCACCTCCACGCCGACAAGACCATCCGCGAGTACCACGCGGCCGAGCACCGGCGCTGGACGTACCCGCGCGGGGCCGGCGCTGCGGCGCCGGCGCACGGCGAGACGGCGCAGCCCGCTGAGGCCGCGGTTGTGGGCGGCGGCGGCGACACGCCGATCTTGCCGGTCGAGCCGCCGCTGTCGGCCGAGCAGGTGGCAGAGGTGGAGGCGCAGTTTGGCGGCGGACTGATTGAGGAGGTGGTGGACCAGGGGTGGGCGGAGCTGAAGCTGGTGAGCGCGATGGAGGAGGCGAGGGTGTGGGAGGAGCTGGAGGTTGTGCCCGAGGAGGGGCAGTGGGTGGGGTTTGAGAGGAAGGCGTAGATGGGGGTGGGTGGGGTGGGTGGTTTGTAAGGGATGAATGGCTAGAGGTTCTGGGTTTGAGAGGCTGGCTTTGCTCGCTGTTTTGTAGGTAGCTGAAAATATTTGCATATATCAGTCTTCCGTCTCTTTAGTCTTTTTCTTCTCTGTACAATCCTTCCTTCCTTCTTTCATTCTTTCGTTCTTTCGTTTGTCTTCGCTTTCCTCCATCCGTTTCACTAGTCCATGTTGATACATTGAAACCCCGAAACAAAAACCAAAACTATCATTGACCCCGTAGCCTACCTCCAAGTACATGGACCTACGAAAAACCACACACCTACCAAAAAACGTCGACACGAACGCAGTCCTCCAACACCCTCTCCCCAAGCTGCGGTAGTGTAGCCCGGTAACACACTCTAGAAACCATTGGTTGCGGAGGACTTGGGGGGGGGGGGGGGGTTCGAATATTTCCCCGCGGCAGCGCTGGTATATCTTTTGGTGTACTAGGGGCGGCGGGGTCGGGGGGGGGGGGGGAATTCCTGCGTCGCATTCTAACGGGCTTCTCTGACGGCGGGGTGCGTGACTGGGTGTGTGGAAGGTGGAGGGAGGAGATGGGTGGCAGACGTTATGGCGGGCGATTTGTGGTTTGGGTGGCAAGGCAGAGGGGGGGGGGAGGTGAGTAGCGGGTATTCTAAAATCAACAACAGTCCAACTGTGAGAATAATTGCTCTATTTATGTATGCATATACGGAGGGGGGGGTGTCAAGCTCGAGCTCTTGTTCCTACCACATAACGCAACGTGTATAACGCGACGTACCACCAAATGCACACCCCAACTTGGTCATCTCTGGATGCTCAGATCGGTGTAAAATTGTTAGCTAGCTGATATTCGCCCCCCCCCCGAATGCTCACCGTCAAATGCCGCGCTAGCGCGCGGGGTGTTTAAATGTATATTATATATATATGTAGTTTGTAAGTGATATGATACGATATGACATGCGTTGCAGAGTTGTGATTTATCGAGACTGTCCCCCAGGGGGGGGGGGGGGGGGTTGTTCAATGATTGACAGCTGGGTACGGGTGTGGTGGGTATAAGTACATAGGTGGCATAGAGAATGGATGTGTGTGGTAGCTGGCCGTATGCATATGGTTCTAGTAATGGAGTTGGGATTGGGGGGTTGATAACGTCCGGATCCCCAGGTGCGGTGTATACAATATACTACATGTACCCACCAGAATCAAAAACCACAGGCATGCCAGTAATTATAACCGCATAGCTAGGAAAACGATTGTGTGTAACTGTCATATATATAGTTGCCGGAAACATCTTACTTTTTTTTTACTCTCACTTTGTGTTTTTGTTCTCAGCCAGCTGGAGTGGAGTGGAGTAATCGGTCCCAAATAGCACTATATATATACATCGATCCTAAAACATCACATCACAGCTAGCAGTCGCTGAATAGGTTAACAGCAAAGATAGGTACCAATGGCTACTTTTCCTTGCTGTCTGGCCCGCTCCATTAGTGTTTGTGGCCGCCACGTACGAACATGATATACATGTATATGATCCGGGGGGGCGAGCCGTGAAAAATGCCGAGTGACACCCCATGTCTAAATCGCCGAATACAGGAACCTCTCCATGATCCGTGTGGGGCTACATGACAATCGAATCCAAATCTGTATTCTTACAAGCTTAAGTCGAATATCAAAGGAGAACGGACTAGTCTAGTAGAATAGCACTCCGGATTAATACTGATTAGAACCCTTATTTGAAAGGGAATATATATGGCGCAGAAAGCCTTTTTCGGTTCCGCTGCATCAACCTGTAAATGCATACATGTAACTATGGGGGTTCTTTAAAAACTCAGACTTGCAATAGGATGAGATGATATTTTCGGGTTAGAAAGGTTAATTAATGAGATAGTATTTGAATGGAGTTTTCTATCTTTTCCCAATAAGCTTACTTGTATTTCTGGTAGATTCGGAATTACATGTACAGCGGTGGGCAATAAGTAATGGAACGGACTGAGACAGACTGATCCCTGTTTTGAGTAAAACGCCACCAATATAGATGTTTGCAGGTATAACCTATCTCAGGGCGTTCCATCACTTATTACCTACCGCTGTACATGTAGTATCCAAGCCCCCCCCCCCCCGAAAAGGCCTCGGTCAGGAAATCCTGCCTCCGCTATAAAATTTACGAAAACATATAATATAATACATTGTATCTATCGGGAAATATTTTTGGTACCTCTATTAAGCTAATCGCTGAAATTGACTACGGTCTGCATGTAATTAATGAGTTGAACAAAAAAAGAAATCGCTGAAATTGCATGTAATTAACGAACTAAACAAAACAAAACAAAAAATCGCTGAAATTACTAATCCCCTAGATGTATAAGTGAGGCAGGATTTGAATTATTTATTATTGGCGTTCTCTGGGGGTAGCTTACATATAGTGCCAGAAGAAGCTGCGTGAGATCGAGATTATGAATTAACCTTGGCGCAAAGTATTTGGCTGGGAACGAGACAGCTACTGTGTTTGTTTGTTTGTGCTCATGGGTTAGTTATAATAGTACTGACTACAAGGCGGTGGGGGAGACCGACTTTCGCAATAATCCTACCGGAAACTGGATCTTCTAAAAGATCTCAGAGTTCAGTCTCCCGCCGTTGTAGTATACGTAAGGAATGCCCCCCCCAAAAAGCCACAAATTTCCTATAACGAGCGAGCTTTGGTGATCCGAATCCGAATCTCGCATAGAAACCTGCCTGCTGTACCGAACAATCTGCTGTATCGAGCGAGAAATTTTGGAATATGCAGGTTCGTTATAACGGCGGACGACGGTTCTCGCCGACGCGTCTCCATTGTGGCCTCCGGGCCGCATACACTCCTTATTACAGTGACAAAAACTGGGGTGGGATTCGTGCCGTAGGAATACCGCAGAAATGCTGGTGCTCTGCGCACTTTGCCAAGCAATACCTTAAAGCTGCATTTTCGGTAATCAATAACCTTTAATAGTACTGTAGAAATACCGCATCACTGCCTCTAGGTCTCCGCTGTCACACCCAGACGTGACAGCTGATGAGAGTACAGTACCAAAAAAGCGGGTGGATCCAGTACCGCGCCTAGCAGGATACTGCAAAACTACGGTATTACTACGGTATTTCTACGGTATTATAGTTAGAATTCCGAATTCCGTATTGATACAGTACGTATTGCACCCCCTTTTTTGTACTGTAACACTTCATATATGACAAGGGGAATAAGATTATCAACACCAACTCGTTCATCATCAGCAATCAATCAAAATTATCAGCATTACATATCTCAGCTGAGCACATAGGAGAATAACTGTTTCATCATATAGCCAATATCTGATGGACAAAAACTGTTTTTTAAAACTCTCTTTAGCCCTTTGATGAGGGATCAAAGATGACCGAGATATTGATGAATTAACTGGTTGTTGTTTTGATGGGTGTAACGCCTCATGAGAAGAAAATATTGATTGTGATTGTATTCAGCAAACTATTTCATACAAAATAGTACATGTACGTTGTTTTGACTGGGTACAGCCCGGAAATGGCCCGAAAACCCCGGAAATGCATAGCATTTAGTAGCATTACTAGAAATTCTGCATAAATGCGGCATTCAATACCATATAGTATCTAGAATACCGCACAAGTCTTTACATGTAATCAAGCAACCGACACCAGGCACCCCCGGATCCCGGCTCGATAATTGACTAAGAAAGCCGAGTGATACATACATGTAGTACCCTATGATTGCCCAACCCGGCTAGCCGGTCCACTAATCGTTTTTGCACTCGCCCGCCCAAGTCCTTTACGTGCGTTGACTTTATTTCCACCGTTCTCAGCTGCGTATCTCCCGTCAGCAAAATAGATGAAAGAGAGAAAAAAATGGGCCCGATTCCGGGATCGAACCGGAGACCTGTCACATTTGAGAAGTTTAATTCTCGGGGAGAAACCCGAAGCAACAATCATACCACTAGACCAACCGGGCATGTGTGGCTTTGCGCACCAAGCTTTATATATTGTAATAACTACGGATATTGTAACCCTAACCCTCACATAAAAAAACCTTTCTGCCAAATCCGTGCCGATTCGAAGAACTTCGTAGTAAAGGGGAGGTCTAGTAACTTACCTACTGCATTTTTGTGGAATCAACGAAGATCAGCTTTGAACCTTTGTAAATTACAGTACTGTAAATTGAGTTGAATAGCAACTCCGACGTGTTCGTTCATAGAATGTTGAGAACTGGGCATCCCGTCTGCTCTGCCATACATAAGCAACATATCGTCCAGTTAGTACTGCAGTGGGTGACCATGTGGGAATCCTGGATAACGAACTCCAAAACTCAAGTTTTGTTTTTGTACAGCTTGTGGTAAGATTATTGTAGAAGTATGGGAGGAGCCCTATTAGATTGACCAGCCATACAAACCCTGTTTTTAGATCCCTATTTAAACAATAATTTTACCTCTCGCTGTAGGTTTGTCGACCATTACCAGCTTGGGTGCTTGTAGTTGGGAAAGGAATGTGGTTTATTCACAAATGTCTCATAAGCCCACGGATACTTGTAATCCTTTAACAAGTAAAACTTTTTTTAAGGTTCAGGAGTCTGAGGGGCACGTATAACACATCTTTACAAGTAGTATCTTAGTTTTGTAACGCTGCACGAACTTTGGTCTCTACAGCAACAGACGAGTTTGGAACTTTTTGAATCGCGGAACCCAAGTGCGGTCTTGAATGCGCACTCCTGGGGTGCAGCGGCACCAGAGTCCGCACTTCAATTGTAAACAAAAGTCGTGATTATGCAGTTCTTTCACAAGCAAGAGAGCTGAGAGTTAGTGTGTAACTCAAAAGGCGTTCTCACTCGACATCGCACTTACACGCGTGCGGCGGCCCTGAAAACCTCCGATATTATTAGAGCATCATCAGGCCGTCTGTGTCTATAGAGGTGGCCCGGTGGTCGATTTCCCCGCGTTTCGATCTCTTTTGGAATTGTATTTGGACTGGGGCTTGTTTTCTCGTGGTGGTGGGGCATGATTTGAACGGAATTAGGTACTCCATGGCTTTATTTTTAATTAACCTCGTTGATCTGATCAGCTGAATCGCGATCTGGAAACGCTGCTGAGGCTTCATGGTTGGGACCTGTAACTTTCGATGAGGTACTTGTTCGACTTCAATTATGAATAGAATTACCTCATAGCAGTCTAAGTTGTAACCCTTTTCATCTTAATCCGGACTGAAAATTCTGCGTTCATGTACGGCCCGCAATTTTTTATGCCAAGCCTCCGTGCTAGGGCAGAATTTTCCCGCTCCTGACCACTACAGACAAGAATTTGAAAGGTAAGAGATAAACCAGATCAAAAGGGGATGTGGTTTAGTGGTATAATACCTCTTTAGCATTGAGTACTTACTCTCATATATCCTGAGTAGTATCTTATGTAGAGGTGGTCCGGGGTTCGATTCCCCGCGTCTCCAATCATTTTTGTTCCTGAGTGGTTATGAAGTCAATAAAGCGAGTTGAGTATATAGGTTTTATGGAGAGGATTGCATACATGTATGAAGCTCTCAATGTGAGGCTGGCAGCTCTATATGTCGTGGTGGAGTAATACTCATATGATTATTCGGGTCAGGTCTCAATAAAGTATGAGGCGAAGAATTCGGGCGTGGGCAGATTTGGGGTAGGAGTGCATGCATGTCTTGGTGTTGACTTTGGGGGGAACATATATATATACATGTAACTCTATATCTCTATGGAGAAAGCCTCCTTGGCTAATTATATCAGTAGAGCATTTATTAGAGGCCGGAGGAGTTTTATATTAGTTTCTCCGAGAAAGAGAGCGTCTTGAGGAAATTAGTATGTAATTAGTAGTCGATTTAATTAATCCCTTCTTTAGTACCAGAGGTATTGATTCGTAGACGCTTGCTTTGCCAGATCTATAGACCACACCTGGTTCGCGCTGCTCTTCGAAATCATTTCTCTTCGCTCTTGCTTGCCTCGCGCGCGTGTATGCCTTTTCACAGACTAGATTGTCCACTCGTTTCTGGCTTTACACGGCTACCCGATCTAGAGTGCAGCCAGCTAGCTAGAGAGGTTGATATGGGTTCGTTTTAACTTGATCGTCGTTAAACGTGTCGCACAGACAAGAGAACAAATCTGTATTTAGGAAGCCGAATTCTCTGATAATCAATACTATTCAGGCCCCCCGACTCAGTGATATTGCCAAGGGCAAAAGAGGCTATAAAACACATTTAATAGTTAAAATAGAGTATTTAGGTATTCACCTAGCCTGGCCATGGACAGATTAGCAGAGACGAAAAATCTGTACTAGATATTGCGAGTCTCAAAGTTACGCGTGGTAATCGGTAGGAGACGCGCTATTCAATACTTGCAAGTGGTATCATCATATCGCTGAGATGGTCAAAGACCAATGGGTGCTGCCAGTTGAAGGTTTCATACACACAAATAATTTGTCAAGCCTGATTGTTGTCGATTAAATTGAGTCATGGATTATCACTCGGTATTCTCAAAAGAAGGTACATGAATCATAGTATATCACTCGTATCTGCATTGTATCCCCCTCCCACCCTTTTCTTTCTTTTCTTTAATTTAGTTCATGGTTGATTGCCGTTCGTAGGTTGATTGATTGATTGATATAGATTCATTCGTGTTTTGTTATTTGTACATATATATACTTAATTAAGAACATGAATACAGCATTACGTGTAAACACCCCTGATGTGTTTTTCCGGCTGCATTGGAGTCTTGAAGACAGAAATACTTATGTATTGGAACTACGCTATCGTAAATGTACCAACACAGCGGATATGGGTATGTACTACATGTAGACTGAGTAAGTATGGGTGGTTCGATTCATGCAAACAAAAGCTTTCATTATAAATTATTAGTTTTTCTAAGTCCACCGCGTACCAATAGGGTCTACATGCTAAGGCTTATTTCTTTAACTATTCCAGTAGTAAAATATATTTATAATCAACTCGGTCTGCAATACCTTCTCCCGCGAAGCTATACTTGTGCTCATTGAGTGTGGGCAAAAGAAATGAGGTTGAGGCTAAGACGTAGCAGGTTATACCATGGATAGCGTATAGTATAGTCCTGATATGTATGATACCGATGTTAACTTTGAACATTAATGCCAACATAACATTCAGCATAAAACTCCTCTTCTATCACTTCGTTGGCTGCCCGCATCGTCAAACTTTCGCTGGATTGCCAGTAGAGATGATTCGCCATCAACGTTCTATCCAGGGAATATTCTCGAAATCTCTTTTTCGCCGGGGATATTGTCACCAGCTATAAGGATTCCTTGGTTGATCAACTATTCGTTTAAACCCGTGTTTTTCTCGCCTCTGAATTAGGTAATATATCATGAAAGTAGGTTTATCCCATTATATAATTTGAATCAAAGGTTTGAAACTAACATTCTTTTGGTTTGGCAAGACCCCCGACCGAACCGGTCTAAATCACGCAGAAGACCCGACCGGACTATTTATGGGCACGAGATATACCTCCCACTGATACGAGAACACTGAACACGGACTCTTCTTCACTTGTGCTTATTGCGAGACCACAACAGCAATTTTGAGTCGGTCCAACTAGATCCAGATATACTCTGAGGATATTGGAATCTGTGAAAATCAAACCTAAAACCTCGGGCCGCCACGGGCAGTATCAAACTAAGGTTTAAGGAAGTTTCTTTATAGTCATTTGTTACAATTTGACCCAAGCAAATGTAACTTGTTCTACCGTTTAGACTATAATCCAAACCGACTTGAGGAAAATATCAGGCCCGTGCTATCAACAGTAGCAAGAAGGGGTGTTGTAAGTGAAAGTACCTTTGGGTTTGGTGGCATGTCATATAAAGCTTAAGGAATGTAAAGGACTTCCCTCAGCTGTCAGGGAAACACCTTGCATACAAACTAACCTAGTTTTATGTAGGAAGCGAAGCGACCAAAGTCAGCCAGGAAGTGTAAGTTCCTGTAACCCAGAAGTTCTATGGCTATAGAACAACATAAAACAAAGTTTTTTCAGGTCTTCAACTCGTAGAATCAATCTCAAGTGACAGGTAGTGTGATCTATGAACTGACTCAAGCATTTGGCAGAGGCCTGTGAAAAGCTCGAGCCGGCGGTAGTGGTTGGTTGATAGGAAACACTTCTATCAAGGTTAGGAATTGACGAAGATCAAGACTAAAAGTAAGGAAAAAAGCTACGGAAAACCATTACCTGCAACTTGAGGGGCCAGGTTCCTTGGGAAGACAATAAGCCTATGTTAAGAGTTCCTATAAATCTTAGAAACATATCAAAATGTAGGTAAGTTAGGTTCATGAGCTGGCTCGGGCTCGCTGGGTAGTAAGGTCCGTTGTGAATGAGCCGAAAGCTCGAGCCGGCTCGACTCATGGGCCACATTAGACCGTGCCTACCAGAGGATACAAAGTCTAGCTTATAATAGGTGAAATAAGTCCTAGACATAGGTAGGTGAAACTCGGCAGTTTTCAGGTTTACTCCCTTTGTCAGTATATCCGGATCATATTAGCAAGCTTCCACTCTCAAGTCTTGTCTGTGGGCGGTATTACCATAGACTACGATCTGCATGTAATTAGTGAGTTAAACAACAAAAAAAAAAGTTTTGTCTGTGACTCGTGTTCAAGTTCAATATCCCCTCAAGCTGGGTTTTGTTTCCTGCATATAAGTTTAGACTTGACTATGATTTCATAACACTTGTCGAAGACACATCGTTTAGGAATCGCTAAACTTCTATATACCACTTTCACATCGGGAGACTCAACACCACCCTGGCATACCAGAACCTACAATAATATGCGGATAGGTCTTGGCGCATAGAAACTCACTCGATCCGAGTGATCGACTTATTGAGCACATTAACTTTAGCCTATGGTGTTTCATCTTCACAGAACTTTGAATTCAACCAGCTTGCTATTTTCCGGATAGGAATGTTGCTCAGCTTAATTTAGTTACTTCTAGGATCCGGGTCTATAATATTCCGGCCGGGTCCATCAATTTGCTTCTGGGTTGAGGCCAAAATCTGATTGCTGTTTGGAGGATTCAATGGGCTTCGAATTCCCTTGGTATTAACGCAGGGATTATAAATGACAAATAGTAGCTATTCCAACATTTAATATTTAGCGACAGATCCCAACGGAATATGATGTGCTAGTTACATCTGTGTATGTATAGCCATGGTAATAAGTGATGGAACACCCTGAGATACTGTTATAGTTAAAAACACCGTATTTTGATGAAATTTTACCCAAAACAGGTATCACTCTGTCTCAGTCCGTTCCATCACTTAGCTGTACACACATACATACGCAGCATGAAAGCCACCCAAGTTTCAGCCCTTTGCTAATCTTTTACTCTTGACACAGAACTTATTTGCTGGCGTGGCCGGTTACTTATTTACTGTATAGATCGAGCGGAGTGTTCCGTTAAAGATTATATTGCCTACGGCATTTATCTACCCCGAACGAGATAGGAACTCGCTAAGCAACTCGCATGACTAATAGTCCGGATTCTATCCGGCTTAACCGCTTACATGGGGGTATCATTGACACTCGCGTGAGTACAAAACTTCGGGACCTCCGAGATTTCATAGCTGCTCATGGGGAACTCCGCGAACAGAAAAAAGAGTATTCTGTCCTGGCTTCTTGAACATCTAGGTCTGGCTCTATGTTCGGAAAGATATATATAATTATGAAACATAGCATTGGAGCTGAATTGGTTTATAAATTTAATGATTCCACCTTTCACCGCAAGCGAAATTTCAGGATAGATGGCCATCTCAATAAGGAAATAAAAGAAACGTTGGCCTATGCAACATGGCTGACGTGAAGAATTTAACTAAATTATTGATAGTCAACTGCGTTTCTGTAACAAAGCTTGGATGAACTTGCACAGGTTGTGTAATGCGTTATCACCGGCCGGTTCCACAATGAATTTAGTGATGATGACCTTACATCCTTTGATCTTCATTCAAGTCCTATCCCAGCAAGAAAGAGCAAAACGGAAGGTGGGAACATTGAGATTCACACAAGGTTCCCCAGGCGGCCATCTTCCTGTCAAAGATAGGAGGCTAATAATTTCTTACTCTGTCACAATTGCTTCGATCTCGACCCGAGGTTAAATACTAAAGACTGGAGGACTACAAGCATGAGCTATCCCTTTCCTCAAGTTGCCTCACTATGAGATAAAGGCTAATAAATGAAGTTACTAACCCGGCCCATGGAGATATTCAGATGCGGCTCTGTCATTATTTAATTTCTCCCTTGTTCCGTTACCGGAATATTGGTTTAACTCATCTACAAGCCTACCTCGGTTGTTAGCTAAATTAAAGTTGCGATTCTGTACAACTTCGTGAGTTCATTTCCGTCTTGATCATGATCAGTGCACTGCGGAGGGGCTCCGATGGGTAAATATTTCCTCATGAGCCATCGGCCTA